ATTTGGTTAGCTCCGTTAGGTGATATTGGACTTGGGAGCGCATCCGGAATGTGATTTGGAGGTACGTGGTAGATTTAGGCTTGAATTGGCGAAATTGGAATTTTGGCATTTTCCGTTCGGCAGTGGAAATATTGATATCGGGGTCGGAATGGGTTTCCAAAAATTGGAGTAGGTCCATTGTGTCATTTTTGACGTGTGTGAAAAATTTCAGATCATTCGGATGAGGTTTGATAGGATTTTGGATCGGTTGCGAAATTCGGAAGTTTTGAAATCCTTAGGCTTGAATTCGAGGGTGATTTGATGTTTTGATGTTGTTTTGAGTGTTCCGAAGGTTGGAATAAGTTTGAATGGTGATATGTGACTTGTTGGCATGTTTGGTTAAGGTCCCGAGGGCCTCGGGATGGATTTGGGTGGTTGACGGAAGGTTTGAGTGAATTTGGAGTTGCAGAATTTGTCCTGTTTCTGTTGTTTCTGCACCTGCGGACTGGGGACCGCAGGTGCGATGACCGCAGAAACGGTAAGAGACCGCAGATGCGGTTCTGGCATCGCAGAAGCGAAAGAAGAGTCGCACATGCGAGCTCTCAGGTGCGGTAGGCTGATCGCAGGTGCGGATGGATGATTTTAAGTGAAGTCCGCAGATGTGGACGTTTTGTCGCAGGTGTGGGGGGCGCAAGTGCGATATTTGGACGCAGATGCGGAACCCCTGGCAGAACATATAAATTCTTGCCTTCGCGAAATTTGGTCATTTTTCCATCATTTGTGTTCGGACTTGGAGCTTTTTGAGAGGATGTGAAGAGGGAATCAAGGGGTAACACTTGGAGGTAAGGTTTTTGAACTCAATACTCGATTCTATGGCGTTGTCTTACTGATTAGACATGAAATTAATGGGAATTAAGGGTTAAAATTGGGGGATTAGGGCTTGAAATTGGAGAGTTTTCATTGGGGATTTGAGGGGCCATTTGAGGTCCTATTTTGATGTTCTTGGTATGTATAGACTCGTGGGAGGATAAGGATTTTAGTGATGTGATTCTTATCGAATTCCGAGACGTGGGCCCGGGGGTCGGGTTTGGCCAATTTCGGGATTTTTTGGTTAATTTGATTATTTTCGCTTGGGCTTTGTTCCTTTAGCGCGTATTAATGGTATGATACTGATTTTGGTTAGATTTGGAGCATTCCGAGGCCGAGTCGAGAGACAAAGGCATCGCGGGCTAGAGTTTGGACCGGTTTGAGGTAAGTAGTGATTGTAAATGTTGTCCTGAGGGAATGAAACCCCGAATTTCACATCGTTTCACTACTTGAGGTGACGCACACGCTAGATGACGAGAGTAGGGTCGTGCACTGTTAGGGATTGTGACTTGGTCCGTCCCGTACGACTATTGAGTCGCGTATTTGATTGAAAACTATTTGATACTATTGTGTTTTGAAAAGTATTACTATGTTTTGGGCTGGATGCCATATTTGGGCCTCGTGCCAACTGTTTGGACCCTTAGGGGCTTTCTTTACTGAAATTCCTCACTGTTTTGATTTAATAATTATACTTAGTCATGCTATGTTTTATTGATTTCATAACTCAGTCTTATTTACTCTGATTTGATGCATAAACGATATTTTTACTGAGCATCCTGTTTTATTGCTAGCCCAAGTGGCTTGAGAAGTTTCTAACTGAGTAAGGCCGAGGGCCTGTGTTGTGAGGATATTATAGGATCAGGCTGCACACCGCAGCAGGTTGTTACTGATTCATGATATTGTGAGGCCGAGGGCCTGATTGATTTATGCCACGAGGTGGCTTGTTATTATGAGGCCGAGGGCTTGACTGATTTGTGCCACTAGATGGCTTGTTATAGCGCTTGGGCTGTAGGAGCCCCTTCGGAGTCTGAACACCCCCAGTGAGCACGGGTACCCAGCGTGTGTGATGTGATGTTGCCCGAGGGGTTGATCTTATTATATTGTTGTCCGAGGGGCTGATTATGAGTGATTGTAAGGTAGCCCGAGGGGCTGGTTCTGTTGATATTTTGCCCGAGGGGCGGTTTATGGTACATGTCTTGCCCGAGGGGCTGTTTACGTTTTTAATCATTCTTACTCACTGTTTTCATCATTTGTTTGAAACTATCGAAAGATGTTTAAAAGAAAAGGCTTTTACTGAAACTGAGTTTGTTTTACGAGTTAAATGATTTCTGTACTGTTTGGGAAATGTATGGTATTTCCTGTAGTGCTATGACGTGAAATTATCTGTTTCTTATTGCTCAGCTGCTTTTACTTTTATTACTTACTGAGTTGGCGTACTCACATTACTCCCTGCACCTTGTATGCAGATCCAGGAGTTGCGGGTCGCGATAGTGAGCATTGACTGTCCATTTAGTAGGATTTTGGAGTCGACAAGGTAGTTGCATGACGTTCGCAGCCCTATTCTTCTCCCTCATATCTTCCTTAGACAAGGTAGTTGCATGACGTTCGCAGACAATGTATTGTCTTCCAGACTTTGTTAGACCTTCTTATACTTAGACGGATTTTGTAGTTACTCATGACTGGTGACACCCCGATGTCAGGCTTGTGTTATTTTCTTCCGCACTGGTTATTTAAACTTATATTATGAGATATTTTGTGAATTAATGGCTTAAAATGACCTTTTTATGGGATTCTGGTTGTATTTGAGTTTGTGTCGGCTGGCCTAGTTTCATGATAGGCGCCATCACGACCGGGTCAGTTTTAGGGTCGTGACAAATTGATTCGAAATTGAAGCAACCAAATCATTACACGACGCATACTCCTTTTTCAGTATTCCCTCAATCGAATAATCGAACTCTCACTGTTCCACTTGCCAGAATCACGCAATAGCACGGTTAAACTTGCCATATGTAAAATAGAAATATATCGTATTTCTGTATACAATTGTATGAATCTCGATTTTTTGTGGTTGAAAATAGAACTTCCACGAACTGGAACAACAGAAAAAAGGGAGAATTGAAAATCCAGAGATTGCTCTGTTTTTGCTATTTTTCGGATGGGGAATCTTTCTGGAACCGTGAAATACAGATTATGGGTGATATAATTGTGTTAGTTGAGTTATATTAGGAGTCTATTTGGTTAATTGATTCCCTTTCCGTTTTAAAACGGTTGAAAGGTCCTTTTTTACGCAACTTACGTTACTGTATTCATGAATACAGCTCGTGAATACAGTCGAATACAACAACTGATTAGCTGGACTTCCCCTGATTCACGCCGACTTTTGCTACTGTATTCATGACTACAGTAGCTTAAATACATCAAATACACCTTATAACAACAGAAAACGTAGCTACAAGCAGTAATATAGTAAATGGTATCTATAGATAACTAATAACCACTAAACAATAGTGCTTTATAAAAATTTCTCAAAAACAAACAAAGAGTTGGCAGCTCCCATTTTGGCCCCAACAACTTCATTTTGTGGCTATACTTGTAAAGAACCAATTTGCTAAAGCATTTAGGAATATTTTCTCATTATGAATAGGAGGGTATCGAGCTTGAAACAATTCCAAGATTATAGGAATTATATACTTTGGAATAAAAGACTTGTCTTACAAGCAGAGTAACAATAGTCTATACTTTGATTCTCTTGGCTAAAGAATGTCCTTTATTTTGTTTAAATTATTTTAGCCTAGAGAAAATAAAAATAAAATGTGTTGAAATGATAATGCTTCCATTTAGAAATAGTTTCTTGAAATTATTCCAACCTTAGTCATCAAGTAGTGTATTATAATACCAAAAATATTGAGATGTAATATAAACATGAAGGAAAGAAAGGAATTGGATGCTAGCATTCTATGAGAAATTCAAAATAAGTATGATATATAAAATAAAATTAAAAAATTCAGAATAAGTTATGGAATATAGGGATTGTAATGTAAAGACTTTTTCAATATGGATATTTTCAAGTAAAAAAGAAATAAATCCAAAGAGTGTGAGGCATTTTTTCTAGTTTTATTATAATCTCTTACTTAATACTCGTTCGTGTTTTTAACTCAAGTCCATATTAAATTGATAATCAACAACGATCAAATACCTACTACGTCTCAAGAATAGAGAAACTCCTCATAGGGGTTAGGAAGCGTTAGGGAGGGTCGGGTCAGATACGGATGGTCGAAAACGAATAATGCAAAATTGATAGAATATTCGACTCGATCCTTATGTAATACGGTTAAAAAATAAATATGGCTTCTTGAATATGATCACCAGAGAATTCCTAGTCTTCCAAACTTGAGGAAACCCCTAATTGAGTGTTTGCAAATGTAAAAGTTAAACCCGTTGGTTATTTATTTTTTAAGTGGATAATATGGATCTTATCCGAGCCGAGAGTCTTTCGGAAACATTCTCTCTACCTTCACTAGGTAGGGGTAAGGTCTGCTTACACTTTACCCTCCTCGGATCCCACTTGTGATATTTCACTGGGCTTCTTCTTGTTGTTGTAATATGGATCTTACCCAACCCATTTTATAGTGGATAATATGGATGAATAATTATTATTTTTTTCATTTTGCCACCACTCTTTCCCCTTTAATAGAGACTTAGGAGACGCGAATCCAAATTAGTCAGACCAGTAGTTACGGGATGTCAAATGGCTATAAGAAAGTGTTGGCCTCATGAATGGATCGGAGGAGACTTTTTCACAAGTTGTAACATGAAATATTATTAGCAGTAATTATTAATTTAAAGGTGTTCTTAATTTATGGAGTATTACTTATCTGGGAATTGAAAATCAAGAAATATTTGAAAAAGATGTAAATGTGTTTATCCTATGACAATGTGACCACTTGCACACTTTTAACATTCATTTATTAACGCAAAGTAAAACAAGAAAAAAGGTTAGGATTTAACACAAAAGAGCTTTAATTTCCTTTCCTATCTTAAAAAACTTCACGAGACATCCCTGAAAAAACCACTGCTTTAAAATTTCATCTAATCTGCTTTTTTAATTTCTAGACCAAAAAAAAAGTTATGGCAATGAGTTACACAAATAACAACTCTCTTTCTTTCTATAAACACTGCATTTTCATGAGTCTTCTTTTTCTTCCCTTTTCTCCATTTTTTTTCTACATGAAACTTCAACTCTCTTGTCTTCATCAATCTTACTGTTTCTTGTAACCAGTTATAATTTTGCAAATATGGCCATTTTGACTTTGCCTTTTACATTCCATGCATTTCTTGAAATCCATGCACATATTCAGAAGATCAAAAACACCCTTTAAAAGTGTACCAATCTTGACATTTTTCAATATCTTTTTAAGCTGAAAAAAGAATGGCTAGTTCTTGTTTTAATCCGTTTAAGCTACGAAGATCGAAAAGTAAACCATTATCAGTACCATCATCCTCAAGAACACGGTGGAATTCAGCAGATATGGCAACAATGGAAAAGAAGAGATTTGATAGTTTAGAGTCATGGTCAATGATATTAGAATCTGATAATGTTGAAACTTGGGAAACATCAAAGGAAGATCAAAAAGAAGATTGGACAGCTGATTTATCTCAGCTTTTTATTGGTAATAAATTTGCCTCAGGAGCACATAGCAGGATTTATAGAGGGATTTATAAGCAAAGAGCAGTTGCTGTGAAAATGGTGAGGATTCCAACTCATAAGGAGGAGACTAGAGCTAAACTTGAACAACAGTTCAAGTCTGAAGTTGCTCTGCTTTCTCGCCTCTATCATCCCAATATAGTGCAGGTCAAAATTCCTCTTCATTAAAAAATGAAAAATGATGTTACTTATACTCCATCTGTTTCAATTTATGTGTCTTAGTTTGAGTCGACACAGAGTTTATGAAAGAAATGAAGACTTCTGAAACTTGTGGTGTTAAACATATCATAATATTTGTGTGACGGTAAACGTTTAAAACTTATGGTCTTAAACATGTAATAACATTTGTATGGTTATAAAAGTTCTCGTTAAGGGTAAGATGCGAAGTTTAAAGTTTCGTCTTCTTTGAAAAAAGGATAGATGATGCTACTTATACCCCCTTCCAGTTTATGCGGCAATATTTACTTTTTAGTCTATTTAAAAAATAATGATAACTTTGGTCCGTCCTATTTTACCTTAATGATAAATTTTTATGACCACGCAAATGTTTTGGCTTGTATATAGCCACAAATTTCAAGAATCTTATAATCAAACAAATATTATGACATATTTTTAGAATCTTATATTTATATTTTTTTTAAATTACTATTGGTTGTTTCTTGGGCTTCAGTTATCTTATTATCTTGATGTTGTTGCTGCTTCTTTTCATGGCTTCTCCACAACCACATTTCTTTTTGTTATTGTTGTGATTATGCTTATCTTGAGCCAAGAGTCTATTGGAAAAATCCTTTCTATTTTTACTAAGTCGGGGTAAAGTCTGACTACACACTACCCTTCCCAGACCCCACTTGTGAGATTTTACTGAATTTATTGTTGTTGTTATAAATATCTTTTTTTATACTCCGTGTCAAGTCAAACAACACACAGATGAAAGGGAATGACTATAATATTTACTTGTATGATCTTCTAGTTGAAAGCATAATTGAGAACTTATGAATTCACAAGTAAATGTTTTTAGGTGATTATCCAACGAAGAATCTGAGTTGAGACATTTTTCTTTAATTTGAAGTTTATTTGTAGTACTTGAATACATTCACATCTAGCATATTTTTGGTGTCTAAGTATTAAGGAGCATGATTTTCCTGTTACATTTTTCCTGTTCAGCTTCAGAGAAGTTCCTCGAATCCCTCTCTTCTGATTCAAAATCGTAGTGTAACGTGTATCCTCCCCTGTTCCGGTCTGTTTGTAGAAAGTTTATAGAGAACATTGTCCCTAAGTAGTTTTATTCAACATGAAATGTGACAAAAGCCATGCCCTTTTAAGTCTTTTTTCTTTGGCTGGATTTTGACATTCAATTTAACCAATGTGCTGCAGTTTCAACAAATTAATACATAGCCTATGATTCAAGCTTTCTTACAAAAACATTTCTTGTTTATCTACAGTTCATCGCCGCGTGTAAGAAACCTCCTGTATATTGTATCATTACAGAGTACATGTCACAAGGAACTCTGAGGATGTACCTCAACAAGAAAGAACCATATTCACTTTCAACAGAAACTGTTCTAAGGTTAGCACTTGATATATCAAGAGGAATGGAGTATCTTCATTCACAAGGGGTTATCCATAGAGACTTGAAATCAAGTAATTTACTCCTAAATGATGCGATGCGCGTTAAGGTGGCTGATTTTGGCACGTCGTGTCTTGAAACACAGTGCAGAGAGGCTAAAGGTAATATGGGAACGTATCGATGGATGGCACCAGAGATGATAAAAGAGAAACCTTATACTCGGAAAGTTGATGTTTACAGTTTTGGGATTGTGCTGTGGGAACTCACAACAGCTTTGTTGCCATTTCAAGGAATGACACCAGTGCAGGCTGCTTTTGCTGTTGCTGAAAAGGTTTGCCTAATTTAACACTCATTTTTTTGGTAGTACTGAATAATCAAATTTGCAGTTTTCTTATTGTGTTCAAGCAATATACATGTCACGACCCAAGCCCATGACACGTATTGTCCACTCTGAGCTTAGGCTCGCACGAATTTGTCTTTTGGGCTATGCCACATTGAACCCCAAAAGCACCTGTACTATGCTAACTTGTGCCATGCCTTATAAAGCTCTTCATTTTCCTATCTCATTTTGATGTGGGATTTGTCTATGGTGACATGTGCACCCCTTCTTCAGAAGCTTGCCAGCCTAGAAGTCTGTTAGTCTTGCTCGACATGCCCTCATCAACATGCCCTCCGCCATGGGCATCACAATACAGTTAGAGTTGGAAAGGCCTAATAGTGTCACAATTACCTAAAAGGGCAGCCCAGTGCACTAAGCTCCCGCTATGCGCGAGGTTCGGGGAAGGGCCGGACCAAGGGTCTATTGTATGCAGTCTTACCCTGCATTTTTGCAAGTGGCTGTTTCCACGGCTTGAACCCGTGACCTCCTGGTCCGATGGCAGCAACTTTATCAGTTACGCCAAGGTTTCCCTTCTGCTTCACAATTACCTATTTCTCAAAAATATTTAGTATTGGTTCCAACTAGTTTGAGATAAAGCTATAGTTGATTGATTGATTGACTGACTGATTAACGTTCGTTATTTTACAGAACGAACGACCACCCTTGCCAGCAAGTTGTCAACCTGCACTAGCACATCTGATAAAGCGCTGTTGGGCAGCTAACCCTTCAAAAAGGCCAGATTTCACACACATTGTATCTGCTTTAGAAAAATATGATGAATGTGTCAAAGAAGGACTTCCATTGACACTTCATTCAGGGCTAGTTAGTCGAAACGCCATTATTGAACGCTTGAAAGCCTGTGTATCCATGAGATCTTCATCTATACCTGTACATGTCTGAATCTTGATATCAATAATAATCATAGTCATTAACATTCTATAATTCAACAGGTAATTGGTAAATTACTAGTTGTATATATTCAATGTGTTCTTGTTTTTCTGATGTAACATGTGTTGAAGAAATTCTAACATTATTGTGAATGGACTTCAAAGGTGGCATTTCTAGTACCATTGTCAATGATTTGATCATATATTCCTCTTTTTGAACGGATTTAAGTCATATAAACTGATAGTGTAAATAATTTTTATATGGGGATCTGGAGGTGGCGAAAGAGCAGTTGTGAGAAGCGGAAAAACTTGGTTAAAGTAGTTATTAGTACTTTATTTTTCAGGTTATCATATCAAGTTTGCTACGAAGAGTTATATGTTCTTGTCGACAACTTAATTTGATGACGTGAAAAAAAAATTATATATTGTGAATGCGCGAAACTTAAAATCTTTTTGAACTAACCATTAATTCGTAAGGGTTATAGTGATTGGATTGACTCTTTCAGAGATGCTACAAACACACCAATCTTAGGCATCCTGTATTCTATATCATAAAGTGCTAAGAGTAAATTGTTTGGTTTGATGTAAAAACTTATCCGTACAATATTTCTTGTATTCCCTTTCTTTTTTTCCTAAAGAATAAAAAGGAGACATTTTCAACATTTTTTTTGTCTTGTTTCAGATGTAGTAAGACTCATTCAACAGCCAGTTGACTCACTGTTCTTAGGAAATGCTCCACGTAGCTACTACTCTTTGATTTAATTTGGACTTGGTGTACATAGTATAACCAGTCAAACAGTTCACAATCTACTCATAAGTCAAGGAAAGAAAAGAAAAGTCTTTGTGATAGTTATGTATATTTGATTATTTTGTAGTCAGTCATAGACTTTGACTAATGAGCGCACTAAGTTGTCCCCTTTTATAGCTCATACCAACACTAAGTTGCACCCAAATTTAGAATTTACACGTGGACGTCTCTTGAGCAAATACGCGGCAATAATGACAGGGTGGAGGTGACTCAGGAGATAGTTAATATCGGATACAAACATGTGATCGATATTATGCGAATCCCAAGGACACGAAGATCGTGAAAGAGAATTTAAAAGCTAGAGAAAATAGCATTAAAGGAACAACTATGGGTGTACATAGGTCGGGTTAGTTCGGATTTTCTAATTACCAACCCAACCCAATTATATTGGATTATTAAATCTAAATACCAAACCAAACCAATAAAAGTCGGGTTTTTAATCTCGGTTTTTCTCGGGTTTTCGGGTTTTTTCCCATAAAGTCTTCATAGCACAAAACGTAAAATTTGTGTCCAAATATTTCTTTAATCCTAGTAAGACAAAACTATATAAGGTGTTTTTCAATAAAATAACATAAATATGAGATGAGTCATGGCATTGTACTAAAATATTCAACAATAAAGATAATAAAGTTGCATAAAATAAATATTATTAATAAGCCATAATGAAAACAAACATAATTTAAAATTACGACTAATAAGTACTACTCCCTCTGTTCTAGTTTATGTGAACCTATTTTCTTTTTGGACCGTTCCATAAAGAATGACCCTTTTCTAAATTTGGTAACAATTTAGCTTAAACTTACAATTCTACCCTTAATGAGAAGCTTTTATAACCACACGAATACTCTGGGCCCCTTTTTGACTTGTTTAGGACCACAAATTCCAAAAGTCTTAATTTTTTCTTAAACTTCGTGCCCAACCAAACAAGTTCACATAAATTGGAACGGAGAGAGTAGTATTTACCTGACTAACCACTAAAAGAAAAATAACCATACATTTTATCTAAACCATGGAAAAACTAAAAAACTAGATATCCAACACTATTTTCATTCATAGTACAATTGAATTGAATGTTTTATTAGCATTAGTATTGACTTGATTTTGGTTTAGGATTTATTTGAGTTGCTAACATTTATGGACTATAAAACTTATTGGAGCATCCAAAAATTATTAGTCCAAGCTTGAAATAATACGTTAAAAAATAAAACTATGAAAAGGCTTAAGAAATATTTATAAACTACACTACAATATATGTATTAAATATATTTAAAACTTCTATACATGTAACATCGGGTTGGTTTGGTTTCGATTTGACTTTTTTTAGTTAAAACCAAATCAAATATGATCAGTTTTTTTTCCAACACCAAACCATAATCGGGTTTTCTCTCGGTTTGACTCGGATTATAGTGTTGGTGCGATTTGTCGGTTTCATTTGTACACCCCTAGAAACAACCATTACGAAAAATCTCAGCATTAATTCTCAACGTTACCCAACCATCAAGAAGGAATTTTATTCATTTTTAAGAGAGCGAGATTTGAGAATCTTGTCTCCTCATATTTCACTATAAATAATAACATTTGTACTAAGGACGCGAGCTACAAGGATTACAACTGCTATCTCTCTTTCTCTCATTTTTCTAAGTTTTATACATAAAAAGCCATTATAGAAACTTTCTAGTTATCCTTGATTCTGGTGGGATCAATTTGAATTTCGGGCTGTTCATTCCTAAATTATTTTTATTATATTTATTTTATTCTTTACTAGTAGTCCTACCCGCGCGATACGCGGTCAGTATTAAATAATATTAGTTAAATTAAATCCTAATCGGGCTTGTTTGAACATATTAGATCGTATTACTTTAATAAATTTAATTATCATCTTATTTGTCAATACAATATACCCAATAATAAAATCTCTATTAAACTAAAAAGACTTATATAGTTATTGAAGAACTTTTTTATTTTATATTCTTCTTTATTATATTATCCAATGTTTAGTAATTATACATTGTTAATAAAAATATTTATTAGCATATTACTTTGTTTAATATTTTTGTGTGATCGTTTTTTCTTTTGTAATATGAGAGAAGATATATATTTTATTAATCTTAAAAAATCAATTTAAGTTTTATTCTGTTGTTCTCGATAATATTATCTGAATTTTGATGAATAAAATATCTATTAAATTAAAGGGACTTATATAGTCATCGAATAATTTTTTTGTTATGTATTTTTCTTTATTATATTATCCAATATTTAGTATAATTGCATTGTTAATAGAAGTTTTTATTAGCATATTAGTCTGTTTAATATTTTTGTCTACTACTTTCTTTATATAATATATATATATATATATATATATATATATATATATATATATTCTCAACGGGTTAACGGATTATCCGNTATATATATATATATATATATATATATATATATATATATATATATATATATATATATATATATATATATATATTTGTGTGTGTATATATATTTGTGTGTGTGTGTGTGTGTGTGTGTGTGTGTATGTATATATATATATATATATATATATATATATATATATATCCATCCATTACTTATTATTGTTCAATTGACATGTGAATTATTAATAAATTAACCAATTTTGTATAGTAACTACTCCCATAATTCATTATGAAATTATGAGTTCATTTTATTAACTAAATTTTCCTACATGAGAAATTTATTTTGTATATGTATTTTTACGATATCATTTGATTTATTTATTTTTTTAGTATTCTTCATTTATGCCTAATTGTTTATTACAATTTTAGTTGTGTGTATACGTAAGACTTTTCTCATAATAATTATAATTATTTTTATAAGTATTATATATATTTGTTCCTTGGTTATCTAATTGTATTATCCATTACTTAATATTGTTAAATAAACATATATATATATATATATATATATATATATTATTAATATTATTAATAATATATAATAATATATATATATATTATTAATAAAAAACCAATTTAGTATAATAACTACTCCCATATATATACACACACTACTACAACTATATTAGGAAGAAATTACTCTCCAATTTAAATTGGTAGTTTTTTATTTTTTTTTTTATTGTAAAATAATTTTAAAACTCCAATTTGAATGAGTAGAATATTTTTTTTGTATTTTTCGTTTTTTATTGATAATTAAGATATTTATATTTATTAATTCAAGTAGTGTAACCAATTAATTCAAAATTTAAAATTCAATAAAAAATAGTTAGAAAAGTAGTTTATTTTGTCTTAAAAATGCCACTTGGCTTTTTGTGGTTAAGACACTTGTCTTAATGTAGTGGTTTTGCTTCTCCTATTCTATATAGATAGATTATTTCACTAATCAGATCATCTTAATTCACATGTTTATAAATCACACATACAAATTTAACTATACCCTTTTACGGGTAAATAATAAGAAAATAATAATTAATTTAGTGCTCACTAGGAGTTGGCTGAAAGAGTCCACTTAAAATTTGATGTGACACATATATCAAATGTTTTAAAGAAGTAAAAAGATTATAGAAAAGACTTATATCGCAGATAACTATAAGCCTTGTGAACGTGGTCGTATTTGATATTATAAAAACTCAAGTGTTTAACGGTCCTAACCTCCAAAGTGGAACTCAATTAAACAGAGGCAGCTCAATAATATTGGAGGCCTAAAGCCAAGACGTTATAAGACTCCTTAAACTTATTTAATAATTTTAGATATTTTTGTTGAACCAACCCCTTTAATCTTTGTTGAAACATTACTAACCTTTGATAAGATTTTATTAAGTTTAATTTTAATTTTTTTCTTTTCACATGACCCTCAACATAACTTACTATATAGCATTGCCTCTCAAAGTAACAATCAAGTAGAAATTTGTATTTACAAAGATGATAAATATTTTATGATCTAATTAGCTTGAAGCGTGCCAGCAGAGATCTTGAAATAAAATATCTTACAAAGCTAGAGTTGTAAATAAAGTTTATTCAAGTTGTAGTAAGAAGAACTAGAAAGTATCTACAGATTTAATTGTTTTTCACTTTCATTTGAATTTTCTCAACCAACTCCGATAAAAGACAACATAAAATATAAAACTATGTTATTAACGATTGGTGACAATGTTTGTATAAAGGAGAGACGGTTGGCATCTCCCCTGACAGGGACGGGAACAGTCTTCGGACTTTACCTGTTATCAGACACATCTAGTTAAGGCTTCCCACTTCGGTGGATCTTACCCAAAAAAAATTTTTAAAAAAAAATGATTTGTGACAAGGTAGTAAAAGATGGTTGAAAAAATTTCTTATTACTATTTAATAAATACAATTAATATTTAAATTACATATAAAAAGAGTATCATTTGGGGCCTCTAATTTTGTGAGGCCTAAAGCGGCCGCTTTAGTGGCTTGGGGGTTAAGCCGGCTCTGCAATTAAAAGATGCTAAACAAACTAAAGGAAAGTGACATTATATAGAAAACCATCAATAATGTATATAGTAAATTAGTAATGATAAGAAACTATGATATTTCCATCAGAAAAGAGATTATAATACGAAGCGTTGTAAATAATGATAAGGGAATCCACGATATATAGTTTATAATATTGACGTATTGTAAGGAATTAATTATCATTAAATTGAAGATTGGGTTTGATTATTTTTGTACAACATCGAATAATTTGATGATGAAGGGAATAGGAGTTGAGATCATTGTCCTTACCAATTTTTATTTTAAAAAAGAGATATTGGCAAGGAAATAAAATACCAATAAATTAAAGATTGGAATCTGAATATTTATATTCAATATCTAATAATTTGGTGACGGGGGAATAGGGGTTGAGACCAAGTTCCTTTACCCAAAAAAGAAAAGGACATATCATAAGGAATTTAATACAAATGAGAAACTAGGTTATGAATATTTTTATATTCTACAGGTAATAATTTGATGATGAAGGGAATAGGAGTTGAGACCATCATTCTTCACCAAACCAAAAAAAAGGGCTTTAATTAAGTAACAATAATTGATCATTATATTATTGATAAACTTATAATTATTTTAACAGAAATAATTAAAATTAAAATAGTGTTGATGCAAGGAGCTAGTTTGCTGGTAGGGAGAGAGGGAATCATGAACTGTCCAAATTATAACTAGAGTTTAATATACCCAATCTGTTTATGAGTTGCTGTAAATGGGAAGCAGGATGTTACATCAACAATAACAACAACCCAGTATAATTCCACGTGTGGGATCTGGGGAGGGTAGTGTGTACGCAGACCTTATCCCTACCCTGAGATAGCATGATGTTAAATAATGGAAAAAATAGACTCCCCTTTAATTAATCTTACACGTCGAAAATTAGATTAGAAGACGTCCCAAAACGAGTGTCAAATACCGAATGAAAAATGAAGAGAAAAAAGAAACTATGAGGCCATTATAATTGGCTTTCACTGTTTGACTATAAATCATATCATTAAGGATAAAATAAAAAAAATAAAATTAAATTATTTCTAAATATAAAAAAATATCATTCATTTTGGAACAAATTAGGAAAATATGCCACATAAGTTGCAACTGATCGAGTACCTCAATAGTGTTGCCGGTACAGTTAGTATTTTTTTTTATAGTAGTGACCAGTGGCGGAGCCATATTCAAAAAATTACAATGTATTGCTAGATAATTCTTTTTGTTTTATGTATATTTACTATATGTTGATTCCCCTTGACTTTTCGATGTATCTAATTTTTTATATTTTGATAACCCTTAGTGAGAATTCTGGCTCTGCCACCGGTAGTGACTAGTGACTGCATTATAAGTTTGTGCACCTCAACTTATGGGAACTGCTATCTCTCACCAGCAAAATATCAATAACAGCTAACTTCCCAACCGTTTTTGTATTGAACTATTACCTACCACATATTGATATTTGGTATTTTTTGTCTGAGCGTAGACATTTATCTTGAGTTAAAGATTAAAGATAGTTGAGAAAACACACAAATAAACCAGCTCACTAGTGTCTGAGCCATATCTGTCAACATGACAAAAACTAGAAGTACCCTTTTGAGTTTTCTCGAGCCAAATGACAGAAAGAATCAATTTTTTGGGTCTGATGGAATAATAGTTCTGAATATGCACAAAAAATTCGTATCACTTGTAGAACACAATTTTAGACCCCGTCATTTTCTCAGTCCAACAAAAGGCCAATGGAGTAGTACTGTTTTTCTCAATTTCCAATAAGCGGGACAACCCGGTGCACAAAGTATCTTACGTTCGCGCAGGGGGTCCAGGAAAGAGCCGCACCCCAAGCAGTATGATGTAAGCAACTTACTCTAATACAAGCATTAGTGACTGTCTCCACGGTCCGGACCTGTGACTTATGGGCCACACAAAGATAGCTTTATCATTGCTCCAAGGCTCCCATTCACTTTTCTCAATTTCCAATAAAAGAAAAAAAGAAAAATAGTGGCCGACCTGTTCTAATCAAGTCTTTAAACAGTCTATGGATGACCAAGAATTTCCCTCCTCTTTCATTGGTCACAAAAAAAAAACCCGGCGCACTAAGCTCCCCCTATGAGCGGGGTCAAGGGAAAGGCCGGACCACAAGGGCCTATCGTACGCAGCCTTACCCTGCATTTCTACAAGAGAAGGTTTTCACGGCTCGAACTCGTGACCTCCTGATCACATGGCAGCCGGTTACGTCAAGGCTCTCCTTCATTGGTCATAAAGAAACAAATTCCCTAAAGTTCCATTTTCCCAAGTATGTAAACCTTATACTTAACTATTGATTTAACATTTTTTTTCCAATTTTTAGCAGTAAAAGTCCAAGAGAGTGTATCTCCTTTACAAAATATTTCCTCGAAAGAAACAAACTCACTTCTTTTTGGACTTGGTTTATTCATAAACTACTCCACAGTGTTTAAGGGGAAAAGGAAGTTCTAACTAAGCATTGACAACAAAAAGTGGAAATATAGCATAAAGTTGAAAGTCAACATTCAAAAAAGACCATATATCTTACATTGTCGTTAAGGGTATTTTACAAAACCCAAAAAACGAGAAAAATAAAACATAGTGACAAAGAAAAGCAAGAAAATTGAATAAAACTTCTATGGGATAAGTAGAAGTAAAAAAGTAACAAAACCGACCTAAATATTCTCAAAATTACCTTATAAAAGTATTTCTCCAAAAAGTGACGTGACTATGCTTCCCCTGAGCCGAGAGTCTATCGTAAATAGTCTTTCTGCCTTCACAAGATAGGAGTAACGCTGCGTACACACTATCCTCCCCAGACCCCATTCGTGGGAGTACACTAGGTTTGATGTTATTGTTTTCAGATATTCCAAATACTCCATAAGCTTTCCCCAAGAAAACTCACAAACCTTCTCACAGACCCTTTCTCATCTCCTAATTCCTCTTCTCTAGCACCATTATCATAGCTACAAGAATTTTCCTCCAAAGAATCAGATTCACAAATTTCAGAGTTTTTCTTAACCTCATAAGATCCTTTATTTTTATTCCTCCTATGTTTCTTGCTCTTTCCTTTTTTCTTCTGCAACCCCATATCTTCAAAAGCATCTATAATCTCATGAATAAGTTGACGATTAGGAGAAGAATCCCATTTTACCCAGTAACTCATGTAGCAGTTGAAACAGTAGCAGCAGTTGTTGTTATTCTTATGAGTACTAGAGTTTCCAAGATTGTTGGAGAAGTTGGTGGAAGAATTATTACAAGCAATTAGATAAGCCAAGACTTGTCTATCTTCTTGAGATAAAGCTGAAAATAGTGTCAAGATTGTAGCTGGTAATAGAGAAAGCTGGTCTGATAATACCAAGGGTGGAGAAGTAACTGGATGAACTGTACCTTTACTATAAAGCTTCTTCATAGTTGATTCAAAGAAATGAAAATAACTTAGTAAGAGAAATATAAGAGATTTTTGGTGGTTTTGAGGATGAGGGAAGGAGGAGAGAAAATAAATATTGGGGTGGACTTTGAAGTTTGAAGAGTTGATGAGGTCTTGCTATTTGAGAAGAGAAAGAGAGAGAAAGTGCATAGAAGTTGATGACAAATATTTCAAGGTTTTTGAGAAAGTTTGAGGAATCAGTCTTAAAGATGAGTTGGAAAATTTTGATTGGTCTTATTGAATTCTGATTGTATAAAGTAAACAGAGACAGTCAGATGAGAAGTATGGGACCCCAACTTTTTGGAATCTAAAGATTAATCTCAATAATCTCTATGCCCTTCTCAATAATGTTGAAGAGTTGCAGTTAGAAGACAAGAACCCAAAGAAGGTCTAAATTTGACCTGAGTTATCAATTTGGTAAATTTTTAGTTTTCTCATTCTTTAAAAACGCGATTAAATTTTCTTTTATTATTATTTTCACATTCTCGCTAATGTGGCTCTTAAATTAACCGTCATCCACGCAATGATAGACGCACCTAGTATTAACATACAAATACATAGATCGCACACTCATTATGTGATTACTAGTAACTCAGTAATAATCTAGATTAAAGGCAGTTGAGCACCCACGACTTCAGCTCGTGTGGACAATAGTGAATAACGACTTCGTTTGCTGAACTGGAATAAGGACAAATATTACACCCACAAACAACTATAGAGCAATTTCGCAACAAAGCAAAGTTGATAACATAAGCAACCGTGCACCAAATGTATCATGCGTACAATTCAATAGCGGATATTTATAACTTAAGAAGTATTGATAGAATAAGATACAAATCCAGTATGTAAGAGACATTTAACCATTATTTTGAAGACAAGTCTTGATTCAGGATTTAAGAGTACTTGAACTCATCATTGCTTACTGAACGACCAAGAGCAGGGTAAGCCTAAGGAAATTTTAGACCAGGATACTTATGTTGCCACAGGAACAGGAAGAAACACTAATAAATTACTCACTAATCTAGGGCCATATGGTCTAACGCTGCAGCATGATAACCCTCAATTGTTCGCTTCATATCATCAAACTGCGAAAGGACATACTCTAGTTTCTTGCAACGGATCTCGTTTAATATTCTTGGTACATAGTCACACTTCTCAAAAGGACGATATTCACATGCACTTTTGATTTCTTCTCGCAGTGTGACCTGGATGTCCTGATGTAATTGGTAAATTATCATCCATTTAGTTCTCAAACTGATCTAGTTCAATCAGAACTCAAGGTATAGACTCAGTTATTTCAGATAAAACTAATGGTAATTTGCCCATGACAACAGCAAACTAGTTCATAATGTAAAAGTTACACAAAAAGTTTCCATATTTATCTCATAGAGAAATTTAGCATTCAATACCAAATGGCAAATAAATGCACATAAAAAAAAAGGAACCACAAACAGTAACCAAGCAGGAGTGTCATAAGAGTCATACAATTAAATGCCAAGAGCAGCAGCACGAAAGGTTACGGCTTCTTATTACACATAAAATGGTTTTGTTAACAGATAAAGAGGTTCTAGAACTTCTAGGTGCGAATTAGTAAAGAATGTTCAAACCTTGATTAATTGCATAAACTCACTGCAATGGTTGTTAATAAGCTCCTTCCTTGGACCGCTTGGATTTGCCATTTCATCCATTACACCTCCTGCTAGCTCCAGAACTCTAACTATCCTCTGCAAACATCAGTGGAAGATACAAAATCAGCCGAAATATGTCAATAATGTAACAGTTACTGAAATTAGAACTCAAAGTATTTTGAAGACAAAGATACAAATGTAGCAGTTACTGAAATCAGCCCATTTTAAGTCAATAGTTCTCAAAAGCATTTACCTTCTCAACATTTTGCAGACGCTACAACGAAGTATTCTGGCTTTGTGAATCCATGGTGTTCTGAGTGGAGCTGTTGAGATAGGTGAAAAGATGACTGAATTAAAAGCAGAGATCGAACTAAATGTGGAGAAATGAAACAGGATCTAGAAAACCCGGTTCAGTGCAGTAATTAAGGGACGATCAGAGGAACCTTCCATAATCAATGGGGAAATAGAAGAGAAAACTTCCTCTAATAAGTGCACTACTAGTCTTCGAGGATTTCTCAGTCATCAAAACAAAAACAAAAAAAGAACATCCTGCAATATGTTTTACGTCAATTACACTAATCGCCCCTGTAGGGGTAAAGTTTGCGTATACTCTATCCCCAGACTTCACTTGTGGAATCACACTGAGTATGTTGTTGTTGTACACTGACCACACCTGTATTCTTTAGGACTAACAAAACTACTCCTATTTCGAGTTTTGTTAACAAAAAAAAAAAAAAAAAAAAAAATTCCTTCATGAGTGGACAATAAAACTTTATATGTTGGGCTTTTGAAAAAAAAAACTTATCTTTCTTTATTGAATGTACAATAGGTGATTGCTCCAGAGACTTAAAAGAGTAAAAGAGCTCTTCAAAAGAGAATTCTGAAACAAGTCATACAGCTCCCACTCCCACCCACCCACCAAGTATGAGGCCACATTGATAAATTTCTATTTGGCAAGGAAAATAAACAAGTGATTTTATGAAAATCAACTATTCAGAACAATTGAAAAGTTTTAGAGAAGACGAAACTAAACAATGGTACAATTTCTTTGCATTTTGTCAAACAGGTAAAGGGCATCTCAATACTGACTTAGAAAACTACGAAACTACATAACCTCAGTTAATATAATAAGGTTATTTTCCTACTCATCAACTACATTAACCAAAAGCTCATGGAATTTGATTACTATTACCTTGTTTGTGAGGCCGGGGAAGACAAGTTATGGAGAATAGCTCTAGCTTTGATTCAAGAGAACAGCCAAGTTCTTTATTTGTCGAGATTATCTTAAAAATCTCTTTTTGGGGTAAAAATTTGGCTTAATATGAATGTAAACCTATAACACAACATGAAAAAATGATTTAAAAAAACTAGCCTGTTATATTAAAGTGTCATTATAGATATGAATGTTATAGAAAAGTTTGAGAGTATATGATTTGAATATTTTTGAAACTCATCCAAAAACTATATGAGCATATGTATTTAGTTTAACTACGATTTGCAATTCTCAGCTAAAAGCTATGTAAATTTGCAATTTCCCCCATTGCTTAGTCAAGGCAGAAAGATTGTTATTATTATTATTTAGAAAATTCTCAGGGAAAACTCATAGTCGTTATCCCTTGGGTGCATACTAGTAACTTGTTCACAGTGCAATAGCTTGAAAACCACACAGAATATACAGAGTACGTATTTAGAATTTAAATTTTATGGGTCAGCTTTTAAGATTTTCTTCATTGAACTCATTTTACTATTAGAATTATAGGTTCAGATCTAATATTTGTTGAGATAATAGTAGGTTTTACATATATATTTATATTTCGTATCAAAAGTTATGTGTCCAAATAAATCCATAGCGATAAGGCCACATACGCCCCCAAACTGCAGCACTAAGCAAGCTCGGACCGACAACTCCCATTCCCTTGGTTGTTTCTCCAAATTACAAACCGTTGATGTGCCTTTGTGGTTATATTTGATTTCATTATTTAATAACGTTGTACTCCTATTTTATACTAGCACATTATAAATCAAAATTGTTGCTCCCTTGCAATATTATTCTAGTTATGTAAAGCCTCGCAAATTTCTATAATTATTCGGACTAATTTTGAGCTTTGGGGATGCGATGTTACATGAGATTTACTTGAATGGAATAGAGGTATTAGAATGTTTTGAAATAATTATTTATCGCTACTTAAGTGTTGAATTAATAGAGATTAAAATGGTTGTTAAGAACACTTGGAAATTAATAAACCTTAAAAGATGAATTACGGGCTAACCTGCAAACAAAGATGTTACATTACAAATAAGACAAAAAAAGAAGAAGTTAACGTTAATTCCCAAGACAAGGAGTCAAAATGAAAATGGATAAAGGAGAGAAAGGAACTTTGATATCAAATGGGTTACATTGGCAGCAGGGGCAGATTTATGTGGACGGGTAGGGTACATGTACCCATGCTTCCCTCCCCAGGCTATATATAAACCATTATTTTAAAAGGCTTTTCTAGGACTCACCTTGAGACTCATGCGTTGAGGCTTAGTTCTCTGAGGCTTACGTCCCCAAGCGCCCGACGGTGCGCCCTAAATACGCCTAGCGCTCAATGCTCAGGACTCGTCCAACAGTTCTTATGCAAATCATGTGTTGAATTTACTCATTTGAACTGTTAACTACCAAAAATTTTAACAAATGAATGATTAAAGTTCTTTTTATCTATACAAATATGAAAATTGTGAATAATTCAAATAATGAAATATATTATTGCATACTTACTAATTGAGACCATCGTGAGGGTGAATATCATTTGAATATTTCTTCTAAAAATAGATAACCAAAATTTATATTGATCTTCATGTCTTAGTTCTATGTCTCTCAAAAATATCATAAATTTTTTATATTAGTATTTAAAATAATTTTATTTACTCATGAAGGAGTAATATTTTAAATTATAGTTTTTGAAAAATTTATTGTGTATTTACTTTTAAAGAGGTAAATTATAGTTTTAAAGGTTATTGAATGTGTTGGAGACATTGGTGCCTACTGATAACTAGGGATTCTAGTTCATTTTACACTCCTTTTTACTTGAGTTTTGAGTAAAAATGTATACAAAATAGTCCCAAAGGCTTACATGTCGTACTTGTTTGCAGGGTTTGGTCAAAAAGGTGACAAATAGTCAAAACCAGCTCAAAAAGGAGTGAATTATGCACAAGTACCAAGGACAAGTCCAAGCACAGTTGAAACAGATCCACTGCGGCCGCACCCCATTTTGTGTGGTCCGCAGTGATGAGATTCAGAGAGGTGCAGTATTTGATAACTCAAGCACTGCGGCCGCAAAGCACTTTGTGCAGACCGCAGTAGCCTCACCGCGGCCGCAACTCATTTTGTGCGGTCCGCGGAGATGAGATTCAAAGAGTTGTGGAAAATAGGGATTGAAGCCAGCGCGGACCGCAAGCCATTTTGTGCGAACCGCAAGCCATTTTGTGCGAACCGCATTGAAGTCACCGCAGCCGCGGTGCATTTTATGCGACCCACGGTGGCCAGATTCAGAGATTCAGAGCCAAGCCAAAAAGCCTCAGTGCGGTCCGCGATGCATTTTGTGCGGACCGCACTACCTCGTCAGGGGTATTTTTGTCTAGAAAATTCGGCCTAATATAAATACTTTCTTTTCACATTTTTAGGTCATCTTTTGTAATCTGACTTTGGGCTGAGCACGTGAACGACGCTTTTATTCCTTTTTGAGTAATTTGTGGCTACTATTACGCTGAATCTTCA